TGCTAGCAGTTGCTTGTTTTGTGGCACTGTCCATTCCAACATTTGTCTACATTGGGCTGGGGATGGACTCAGATCGGAAAGATTTTGACTATGTGAACGTTGTTGGATTGTGGGCTCAAACCATTGCCTCAATGAACGGTACATTTAACTGCTTGATCTTTTACTGGAAAAACAAGACTTTACGCACCGAGGGAATGAAAGTTATTAACGGCATAAAAATCTTCAAAAATCAAGATGGCAATTCCTAAATGTTAAATTAAGAATTCCAGTGCTTAAAGTTTGTCCCCTGATCTTATAGACTGCCAACCAAGACTGGAAAAAGGTTAGAAAGGGACAATTTTGTGGCTGAACGTTAGAAATGATAACATAATCGTTAATAATGCTTACATTGTACATTATTCTATGATAACTCTGATCGCTAAAACCATAATAAGGAAATGCGCAGGAAGTTATATACACTCAATACTCAGTGTAGTGTACTTTGATTTTTAAAACATTTTAAACATAAAGCAAGCTTTTAAATATACTAATGCGTTTATAGATATATAACATAACATATACATATTATTTTAGTCATGATCGCAGATGTGGAGATATAGCTGTTAGTATTGTATACTATCTCGAGATGTTGAGAATAAAATCGTTATTATTATTATATCGAGTCTAACTTGTCATCCTTTTTAATCCTCCTGTAAATTCATGCAAGTACCCTGTCCGCTTAATGCTTTATTTTTTAAGAGGGGGGGGGGGTGCATTTTGGAAATTTACCCTTAAAGGGAACTTTAACTGCATTAGATGCATATAGAAAACATGGAGTTGTATTGTGTCATATATATTATTTATACTGCATGCTTTTCTGGATAACTCTGGTGTGCCCTGAACACGGTGGAATTTTTTTTATACTTAGAACAGCGTGAAACACAGATCGGAATGAGATAAGTTTATTGTTTAGTTCTAAGACACGCGTCCCGAACAATGCATTCAGTTTGCCCTTCTTTAATATTTGAAGAAATATGGACGCATAGCTCATATATAATCGTTTGTAAATGATCTTACATCTGTATTCGAATTGATTGACAAATTTTCATTTTCAAGTCTCGCCTCCCTCTTAAGAGATCTTAGATTGTTTTCCAAAACTGCAATCTAATAACAGCCGGGACAGATGTCTTTATTAATTAATATTATGTACTCTGTGACTTTAACCATTATAGCTTCAAATATTGCATGTACAAATATAACATTATAGGATCCGTATCACTACATGTTGTTGAAAACGTAGTAAAGAGATTCGGTGTCGAGTTATTAATATTCTTCCCAGCCAAAAACAGCATAGTGAAAAAAAATTCCTAATTTTAAGAAACGCATCGTTTTGCATCGCAACTCTCATACAACTCTCATACATGTACCTTTTTGCATGCCTGGTACCTTATTTAAAAGAAATTTAAAGAAATATACGACTAGACGTCTAAAACATTACTTCACCCATCGCAAAGCCAAGCTTTTAATTATAACGATAAAATTTTTTGTGATGACTTTTTGGGATGAGAAATTTACTAAAATATTCAGCTACTTGGTGAAGGTTTTTGTAAAGCCTTTGCTTATAGCCTTCCTTGATGTAATGTGTTATTTTAGGCCTAACTTAACTGAATGCAACGAGTTTTGAAATTGAATGGCAGTTTTAATTTCTTAGCGTCGCTGTCCTCTTGAGGCATTTCAAAACTGCTTTTCGAAACTGCAAATTTAATAACAGTCGAGAAAGATGTATGTGTAGATTTATCCATATTTAGGTGTTAAGACAATATACTCGTCGTTCAATATAAAATACAAAATGTGACATCTGACCCACAACACGTGAACAGAGGCGCTGTTAAAGTGACGACGTAAAAACCTGTAAATTAAATTGTAGAGTTTAAGCTGTTCAATTTCGACGAATTGAGCAACACTAATAAAAAAAATCATGAACTGAAAACTGAACCGCATGAGCCCACACGCTTTACCGCTTACCGGCCTGCATTTCTAACCATATCGCCGTAATTCGCTTGTCGTAACCTGAAATATAAAGACCGAGTTACAACGAATTATGTGATTTACTACGGATTATGACGATTTACGTTATTCTAAAACCGGCTTTAATTTGTTTATATGCGTTGTATACTATATGTGTTCTTCTCGTATCTGTATGTCGGCTTTCGTTCGCTCTTTGTCGGTTGTGTCGGATTTGTTCGCTCTTTGTCGTTTCCGTTCGCTCTTCTTTGTCGGTTGTGTCGGATTTGTTCGTTTTTTGTTGTTTTCGTTCGCTCTTCTTTGTCGGTTGTGTCGGATTTGTTCGCTCTTTGTTGTTTTCGTATGCTCTTTGTCGGTTGTGTCGGATTTGTTCGTTCTTTGTTGTTTTCGTTTGCTCTTTGTCGGTTGTGTCAGGTTTCGTTCGCTCTTTGTTTAGTTGTGGTTTTGGGTTTCGTTCGGTCTTTGTCGGTTTCGTTCGTTCTTTGTTGATGATCTATCTATCCAGCCAATCAACGTTGTAAGTTAGAAATGTGGGTTGGCTTCACAATTTAGTTCCATCTCTGCACGATATTTTATATTTACTTAAGGCGTTGACGCGTTAGTCGAGTCGGAGTTCTGCTTAATCGACCACTATTAAAACTTGTTCACAACTTAATACACTCATTATATCCTTATGGTATAGTCTTCAAACAGTAACTATGTGAACAATATATTACGAATTAAACTGAATTCACTAATATTTCCAATGAAATGAGCTTTTAGCGACGTAATGCTTTAAATGCTTTATCGCGCAAAATATAACAGAATGATTGAAATGAAATGTTTTAAATAAAGAGCTCACATCTGCCTGCAGCGTGCGTATATTTGTTGAAGTTGGCAACGGCATAATTTGTGATTGTCAGGAAATGGAAGTTTTGACAGAATGATCGATGCTTTCACAATTTTTCACAATTCCACTGGCGAAATACGAAATCCTTTGCCTGCTCCTTTTGAATTGTGTGCAATCGAATAGAAATATTCTATTCGAACGGTCGCAAATCGGAAGAAATAAGCGACATTTTCGCATTTTGCAGAGAAAAGCGCCCGTGGAATCGGGACTTTAGGCGATTCTCTTCCTATACATAACACGTCAATTACTCTCGCGTCCTGGGTACAGCAGCTGTGCTTTACGTCTTATAACAAGTGGAAGTTGTCGTATATACAGACAGTTATATTTGAGCAATATTCTATTAAACAATAAACCTTAAATACTTATATCGCGCAAATTTGTGGGCTGATTCATTGCTCACAAGACTTCCCACTGACGCACATACTTGCAGCTCAAAACTGAAATCGCTTCGTGATGGAGTTGAGATATTTTATTTGCCTGATATTCCTATTCGTTCTGAATATATTCTTTTTTGTCTTTGGAATTTGTTTAAATTCCTTGGTCATAATCAGTTTCTGGAGATCAGCGCAGCTTCGAAAGAAATTGTGCTATTTCATGATCATGATTTTGTCCTGTTGCGATTTGCTGGTGATCGTAAGTAATCATCCGTTGACGGCAACTGTCGCGGTGTTCTTGCTGACCGGAGACGTCAACGAAAGCCAATCGCTTACCTCATTCCATATTGTGACTAACTTCATTGGTTTTTCGTTACTGGCTCTTTTGGTGATGAATTTCGATCGATATTTAGCGACACATCATCCCATCTTTCATCGAACATCTGTAACGAAGGGAAGACTTTTAACTCTCCTTGCAATCCTCATTCTTCTCCAATTACATCTGGCTCCGCTGGTTGTCAAAGACGTAATCTCCTACCATGTTGCTGCTCTCATTTTTCATGTTGCAATCACTCCGCCGATGTTGTTCATGAACTACAAGATGTTTATGATCGCGAGGAAAAGTCGTGAAATCATGCGAAGTTCACCCGAATTGAGAAAGCCGTTTTCATTGAAAAACATCTCGAGTTGCGTGCTAGCTGTCGCTTGCTTTGTGGCGCTGTCCATCCCAGCATTTACCACCTTTGGACTACGATTAAGCTCGACTAGAAGAGGATATACCCCCTTTACCGATGCATCCTTTTTTGCATTGTTGGCTCAGACCGTGAGCGCAATGAATGCTACATTTGACAGCCTCATCTTTTTCTGGAAAAACACGATCTTACGCACTGAGGGAATGAAAGTGATCAAAAGCATCAAATTCTGCAGGAGACGTGCTCAATGGCAAAAAAATCTGCAGGAGATTCGAAACGTCCAATTGAGTATTCCGATAGATGAAGATTGTCTGACACCTTTACACCCTGGCAAAAGAGGCACGGTCAGAGAGGAACAATTTCCAGGCTTGATCGTTTAAGCGGAGATGACAATCGTGAACAATTTCATATATTGTGCATTATTCTATGATGCATAGTCAAACTCTAATCACAAAAACCAAAATAGGAACATTCGTGGGAAAATACTCAATATTGAGTCGCTCAGTAGCTTGATCCACGCAGACGGTTGAGTTAGTTTCCACTTTGTTGTTAGCTATTAGCATATCTTGACTTTTAAAAACATTTTTAACAGAAAGCATTTTAACATTACATAGTTGATAATAACACTGTTACACACAATTGTACATTACATAGTTAGATGATTTAGGATCGCAAATGTAGAGCTAATATTTTAACATGCTATAAATAAAATGAGTTTTTAGCTATTATTCGTTTATCGAGTTCTTTGTATTTGGGGGAGGGTTTTGTAATCAGGGGTGGATCCAGCACTAGTGCACAAATTTGCATGACACAAGAAAACTGCTAAATATAACCACTTTGTTTTATTATGCAAATTTGTGCACAAGTGCTGGATCCACCCCTGGTTTTGTTTGTTTTCTTTTGTTTCTGTTGCTATCGTCGTCAGATTTCCGTTTTCTTGCCAAATATCCACAACCAAAACTTTAACTTCTTGATCAAAGAGTCCATGTCTATTTTCATGGTAGCCAATCAGTGAAATGCTGTGCTTTCATATTTTCCTAGTTCGAGACGTCCAAAGTTGTCAATTCGACAAGACGGCCGCAATGTTAAAGTGGAAGTGCATCCGAAATCCGTAAACTGCAACGTGCCTTCCTTTCAAAGTAACTGGCTCATTTACATGGAAAAAGTCAAATCGACAAAGGTAATGAATGAATATTTAACCCGCTTCTTTCACCGAACCTAATTTTATCATATTTATGTATTTATAGTGTGTGAATCAAACCAGTCTGAGTTGCAAAATGACACAAAATCGAGAAATTTGATTGGTTCCCGCGAGCGTACAATACAGTTTAGTTTTGGCGGGAAAAATTTGATTTTGAAATTCTGTCATCTGCATGTGTTTATATATTATTTTTCAAGGGTTTCTTTTTCTTTTTCTGTTATTTGATGTTTTGGAACAACATAAGTATAGTAACTGATATTTGTCAATCACAAAACAAACGCTAAAAAATTACGCGAAATTGTATTATCCAGGACAATTTTGAATCTCTGATTTGGATTCAAATATATAATAAATAGCTTATCGACTGAGCTTGTTCGGTCCGTACAAGAGGATATTGCATGTATTTCGTTTACTTTTCGCTTGTTTCTCGACCGCACAACCAAACAGAAGTCCCCTGAGTGTGTAGTGTTCTAATAGTCCATAGCATTCATGTAGATTTTTCTTGTTTTCCTGCAGATATTTATTCACGACTGTAGTCCGGTGTCTCCATATTCGCTGCTGTTTTTTGGTGGAGAAATATCCATGGCTACAGTTGAGAATCAAGAAGTTGTTACCGTGGATAACTGGATATCGTTTAACTGCAGAAGAAGTGTTGCAACCTTAGTGCAGGTATGCTTTCGATTTTGTAAACAAGCCGTACGTGAAGACCCCCCCTGATAACATCCCGGCCTAGAAGCCCCCCCCCTGATAACATCCCGGCCTAAATCAAACCTTGCTCTTCATAAGGTTACATTTTAAAGTTCACTTCCGACTTGAAAATATTTTCAGTAAACTAACCTTTGCACTTTTCTAAAAAGTTTGTTCGCATTCAGAGATATGTTAAAGAAACAATTACACAAGAAATTTGATGCATGCCTGGTTCGATACTCGATAGCCGTCAGCCGTAAAAAGTATTTTTAAAATGCCCTTTGCTCTGCTAATCTGTATAGCTTATAATTGCAATTTTGATTCGCAATTTTTAAAACTAATGAAAAAAGATAAAAAACGTAACAGTAACGCCTTTTTTGCCTGTAGGGAAAAGATATAGATCTACCAAATTTCATGAAAATGTCTTGAATTTGAGAATTATGTTTGAATCTCACTCCTATATTTCGACGCCATCTTGAAAAAGATGTAAACAAATTACCGCCAAAATGACATACGACAATTTTTCACGTGTGAAGAATATCGTACGTCCAGTCAAAAGCCGTGTATCGCTTTTTTTCACGCGTGAACGTCCAATCAAATTCAATGAAATGAATTTCCACAGTGAAATACGATTTTTATTTTATCATTCTGCTGTGCATGAATCTTTATACACATTGAATAATATTTCTCTGAAGATGTTGCGATTATGACAGCGAAGGCGTTCGATGCTGTAAGCAATAAAAGTCATTTTTATATAGGTGCTGTGTATTTTAAATGTGATTTGTTCATTCGTAGTCACATGACTTTCAATAAATGCAATAATATGGGAATGATGAACCATTACGTATATTAGTAAATCATTTGCTTTTGCAAAACTCCCTAGAGTAGAAAGAGAGTAACTCCCCACCTTCAGTTTGTTGATGGAAATGGCTTTCCCATATGTGGAAGCCATGACACATGAATGTACAAACTATATTGTTATATAGGTGCTGTGTATTTAAATGTGATTGCATGGTTCATTCGTAGTTCATGACTTTAAATAAATGCAAAGTTTCCCGCATATTGTCATAACAAAGCAAAGTGCATGTGCCTATATAACAAAGGCAAATAGTGAGTTTTGTTTACCCTCGGGTCTCAATGTTTCAGACTCTTGGGAAAATAAAACTCACTATATTTCCCTCCGGGGCATACATTAAGTGTATATTTCTACTCTTGTCAAGTCAAGTCTACTCTTGCATATACAAAATTAAATTGTTTAGCTAAAGAATCATTTCTCAATTGGAAATGTAAGTCCATCAACACCTCCATAGTATTTAATGAAACACGTACTTCGTTTTGATAATCTTATCATAATCAGCCGACTGGTGCAGACACCTGCTGTCTATTTTATATATAAATAGAGAGAGATATATTCGTTTCCAAACGCGTATCGACTGATAATGGATTTCAAATATTTCATAAACATGCTCCTCCTGTTTCTTGTGAATGTATGTTTCTTTGTCTTGGGAACGTGTTTAAATTCCTTGGTGATAATCAGTTTCTGGAGATCAGTGCAGCTTCGAAAGAAGTTATGTTATTTCATGATCATGGTTCTCTCCTGTTGCGATTTGCTTGTGGTCTTAACCAATCATCCGCTGATGGCGGGTATGGCGATGTCGTGGTTGACTGGGAATGAAAATGCAAGCTGGGCGGCTGTTTTCGTCGAAGTCTCGACAGCTTTTCTTGGCTTCTCGTTACTGGCTCTTTTGGTGATGAGCTTTGATCGATATTTAGCGACATATCATCCACTCTACCATCGTACATCAGTAACGAAAGGACGACTTCTTGGTCTTTTTGCATTACTTATCATTATTACTGGAATGCCTTCATCTTTCTCGAAAATTCCCCTCGAAATTGTGGTTCTATTTTTTTTCGTAATTTTCGCTCCGCCGATGTTGTTCAGCAACTACAAGCTGTTTGCAATCTCTTCGAAAAGTCGACGCAACCGGTTATCACCCGAAATGAAAAAAACGGTTTCTATGAAGAATATATCGAGTTGCTTGCTAGCAATGGCTTGTTTGACGGCTTATTGGAATGTGGGCTAACACGATTGGCTCGATGAATAGTACATTTAACTGCTTGATCTTTTTTTGGAAAAACACGATCTTACGCACTGAGGGAATGAAAGTTATTCAGGACATAAAAATACGCGGAAGTACCTAGATTTTCAAACGAGTTCATTGCTTTCGTGAATGGAACCAGCATTGGAAGAAGAAAACACTGAACTACTAACAATCTAATTCAAAACGTCTGTTTTGAGATTCTCCTGTTATTTCTGGTTATGCAGCAAAAACAGGTCAAAATAGAATATAAAAATAGAAAAACTGTCCTAAATTATTTTATATTAAACAGTCCTAAATTAATTATAAAAAAACATTCAATTTTCATGCAGATTTTCGCTGTATTTTTGGCGATGTGTGTGTTTAATTTTTAGTCGACGTTCAGAAATCAAAACGGTGGGCAATTGCACACGCGTTAGCCAATAAAATTGCCGGTCATATCACCTTAAGTGCAATTTTTCTTGCAACTTGCAATGCAATTCTACTTCTAAGAGATGTAAATTCGTGAAGAGTCTTGCAGAAGAAAATTGCATGAAGTGTAATAAACACAAAAGTTTCGAAATATACGTTTAGAAATAAAAGTTTCCAAATATACATCTCTCGAAAGTAGAATTGTATTGCAAGTTGCAAGAAAAATTGCACCGTGTAACTGGCCTTTAATCTTTATCAATAAATTATGCTCTTCGCATATCTTTTAGATAAGTTTTATATTGTAAATCATGCAATTATCTGTACGTTAGATCGAATTAATAACTGCGGCATGACTTATATAAATGAATGTGAAAGATTAAACGTCGTTTGCAAAACACGATAGTTAACGCTTAATTATAGCTAAAACCTGTGATTTTTGTACTCACAGCGTCTAATCAGAAAATAATTTACGAAAAGTTGCCACGCCTGGACAATTACTGCATTATCATTGCACACTTTCAAATATTTTTATTAAGGACCTGTTTACATGGAGCAAGTTATCCCGGCTAGGCGAGGTGAAAACTGCATATAATGAAAGACTAATCAGGTTAAGCCTTTGATGTGATGCGCTTTTTACCTCGCCTAGCCGGGATAACTTGCTCCATGTAAACAGGCCCTAATTCCGCCTGGAGATTAGGAATTACACCCGGATGTTGTGACAGAACAAAGTTGTTCAAATTCTATGTCATTCAAGGCTTTAAATCATCGTTTTTACTTTAAAAAGAGTTCTTGAAAGTTGAAAGTGTATAGTTCGTAGTTTTGATATAACAAATATCACTTTAATGCTTTTATAGAATCGACTGCATTCCCTGCATGAATTCAACAATCGAAAACAACATTCGAGGTTTATATATTGCTTGCATCGGGGATAAAATTCTTTGAGCTGCTTTGATGTCTTCAAGGTTTAGTTATAGTGAAGTATTAACTCTCCCTTATAATCTGTGAAACTCTATAACTGCATGCAAGGTAATGCAGCAGGTAAACGGGTGATTTCACTTCACCTTTACAACTGTGTTTGTTTCTGAAAAATTTGAAAAACCCTCTCGTCAGCGCAGTATAGGCTTTACATAAATCATTTCAAACCATTACCGCATGTGCATGCAAAATCTTGTCAATATGGCCGCAATATTTTGAATTATCATATTTATTCGTGTATCCAAACCATATGAGTATGCAAGCAAAAATCCATGTGCATTTTGAAAGAAAGTGTGTCCACACATTGATTAAAAAGAATTTTAAACACTGTTATATAAAATTATAATAAAAAATTCTTACGCGGAATAATTCTTAGCAACCGCACATGCGTTTGATATTTAATATACTTGAGATCAAACGTTTTGTAACTGTAATTGTGACAAGGAAAATGATATCGTAAAGGCTTCAGATTGCACTTGTGAATACAAGTTATTCCTTACCTATCATTTCATAAGGAGTTGCCGCCTCACAATGGAAATCAAACCGTTTATCAACTTGACACTCCTGATTGTTGTGGATGTACGACAAAATTTTTAATTGCAAACATGTTTCAAATGCTTTAAAATTACTCTTGTGCTATTCAGATCATATGTTGTGAATGCATTTTTCTTTTTCGCTGGAGTATGTCTAAATTTCTTGGTCATAATCAGTTTCTGGAGATCAGCGCAGTTTCGAAGGAAATTGTGTCATTTCATGATCATGATTGTGTTATTTCAAAATTTGAGCAAGTTGCTGTTCTTATTTTTCTTATCTTCGTGGCTCCTCCGATGTTGTTCATGAACTACAAGCTGTTTACAATCGCGAAGCAAGGTCGTGGAAACAAAGGAACATCAGCCGATAGAAGAAATTCATTTTCTGTGAGGAATGCATCGAGTTGCTTGCTAGTAGTCGCTTGTTTTGTGGCATTGCATGTCAACTCCCTTTGTTCTTATATAACAAAGCACTCGTATATGATCCCGAGGCAAATAGTGAGTTTTGTTTGTGAATGTTTCAGACTCTTGAGAAAACAAAACTCATTATATTTCCCTCGGGAGCATACATTAAGTGTATATTTCTACTCTTGTTTACTCTTCCATATACAAAATTAATTTCTTTACGACTTTAGCTAAAAAAATCATTTCTAAATTGGAAATGTAAGTTCATCAACACCTCCATAGTATTTAATGAAACACGTACTTCGTTTTGATAATCTTATCATAATCAGCCGACTGGTGCAGACACCTGCTGTCTATATTATATATAAATAGAGAGAGATACACATGCATTATATTCGTTTTCAAACGCGCATCGCTTGATAATGGAGTTGAAATATTTCATAAACATGCTCCTCTTGTTTCTTGTGAACGTATGTTTCTTTGTCTTGGGAACGTGTTTAAACTCCTTGGTCATAATCAGTTTCTGGAGATCAGTGCAGCTTCGAAAGAAATTGTGTTATTT